CTTCCGCACACAGCTTTTGGAGCAAAACAGCTGCCTTGCAAGGAATAAAGTCTATGTGGCTCCCATGCGAGGGAGACACGGGATCCCCTCCTGCCTGTTGTAGCACTCGCGGACAGCCTCCACGTACACAGACAGGTAAATCGACCCCTGAAGGCTCCATAGACGTTACCCGGTTTCATTCATGCCTTAAACCCGCAGCAGGTATCAATGGGAATATCCCCAGCTGAATGCCCAAGTCAGTTCCAGGTACACGCAAAGCAGATACAAGCCTTTGAGAGGCACGTCCTGGCGACCCTGCAGGGCACCAGACCGCAAACACCCCCCGGAGCAGCCTCTCTCCCACCTCGTTATTCCCACCTAACATATCCAAAGGGAAAACCTCTCCGTTCCTCCGCTGTGGGAGTACGATTCGAAGCAGCCTGTCACCATGACAGTGCAACATCCAGCCATGGAAGGGCAGCGCGCATCGCTCAAGGTGCAAGCGGGCAGGAGTGGGTCGGAGATGGGGGGGGGAATCCCCGCAAGCCGCGTCACTGGGAGCTCCATCCCCATCCCCAGGGAACGGCTCCGCTCCGAGCCGCGGACACAAAGCCCCGCCGCGGTACCCACCTCTCCTCCTCCATCGTGCGGCGCGGAGGGGCCAGGGCCGGGGCCGGGGCCGGGGCCGGGGCGGGCGGCGGGGCAGGCTCAGCGCTCCGGGCCCCGCATGGCTGCGAGCGGCCGCCCCGCCCCGGGCCGCTTCACTGCGGGAGCGGAGCGCTGCGATCCCGGCGCTCCCCGCAGCCACCGCTGCAGCCGCACCGCCCCCCGCCGCCGCGCAGCCGCCTCCCCCGGTGAGCTGCGATCGTCTCCGAGCAACGGCAGCGGCGGAGGGAAGGGAGGGAGGGAGGGAGGCCAGGGCAGGGCAGGACGCTCCTCCCGGCTCCGGTTAACGCCGCCGGCACGACCCCGGCTGCGGCAGCGGGGGACGAAACGGGTCAAAGCACAGCCCCGAGCCCTTCTAGCGAGGGACAGAGCGGGAACACAGCGGGCAGCGCCACGGGACAGAGCGGGCACCCGGAGGGAGCAGCTCTGGTCCTCCCAGCACACATCCATCCCTCCATAGAACCAACCGGGTTGGAAAAGACCTTTAAGATCATCAAGTCCAACCGCTCCCCAGCGCTGCCAAGGCCATCACTAACCCATGGCACTAAGGACCTCATCTACACACTTTCTGAACACTTCCAGGGATGGTGACTCCCCCGCTGCCCTGGACAGCCTGTTCCAATACCTATGTTCCAATGGCTGAGCACCCTCTTGGTGAAGGCATTTTTCCTACTATCCAATCTAAACCTCCCCTGGCACAGCTTGAGGCTGTTTTCTCTAGTCCTATCACTTGTTACATGGGAGAAGAGACCAACACCACCTCACTACAACCTCCTTTCAAGTAATAGAAGAGACCTTCTTTTCTCCAGGCTAAACACCCCCAGTTCCCTCAGCCATTCCTCATCACACTTGTTCTCCACACCCATCCATCCATCTATCTGCTGTTGATCCTCATCCTTAAATCAGTGCCATCTCCTCCTCAAGAGCTGGCCTCTGTGGAGATGGTGGATGAGCTGAATGGCCCCTAATGATTTCAGGTCTTGGACAGTATTTTAGCAGACCGAAAATCTCCAGTCAAACCCATGCACAGGGCAGCAGCAGGAGAGGGATGGTGATGCTTGGACCTGCTGAAGGTCCCAGCCACACCAAGGTTTCCCTAGTCCCACTGCAGAAAGTAGGATCTAGCTCCAGTTCCCCAGTTGATAAAAATCTTGCTGTCCTTCTGTGTAATCCATCAGGACAAACACATGCTGGGTCCTTCTAAACTGCAAGTGCTCTTTAGCCCGAAGGACTGGATTAAACCACATTTGCCATTTTTACTCTAATTGATACAAATATAGGCACTGCTACATAAATCTACCTTTTTTTCCCCTCATTTTTGTCCTGGGTGTCAGTGGTGACAATCTAACAGATGCTGCTGCACCTTCCACCTCAGGGTTTCAAAAGCTCATTGAGAATCTTAATAGTCATCACTGCATTCCTCAGGCAACGAAGCTTAACACACCTGGAACTTAAAAGGACTTTATCAAAGTCCATGGGGATGGAGAGTGGAGAGTCCTGCTGTTGTTTAAACACCATTTAGCAGCCTCCCCGTAAGCAGAAGAAATACAGATAAAGCTGTGAAATCAAACCTCACACAGGATTCAGCCAAAATTACTGCATTTTCCTTTTGGGAATCCTGTTAAACGATCAGTTTGAGATGTCCAGATCCCCAAGTAGTTCCCCAGTGTCCATTCAGTCATCTCTTGATGCACAACATGCAAAACTGCAAGACACAAGTGTTCCAACCAAAGAAAAACTATTAAAAATAGTAGAGTTAACCTAGAAAATGAGGACTAGAGCTTGTTTCCACTGAGTAAGCCCTCCAGGAAACGTAAGTCCTGATACAAGAACAGGTCTTGACAAAACCAGCAACACCTTCTTACATGCTTCACCTCACCAGCACATGTGCCACTGGACTCTATAAATGCCAATAGCAGCCATGGAAAGGTAAATCCCAGGGTCAGATGAGCAAACCAGTCAATAGTCCTTGCTGGAATAGGACAAAAGCATCTTTCAGTAATCAGAGATTATCTTTACAGCAGCCTTGCAAACTCATCATGACTGTGTAACAGCCCCAGTGCAAAAATTCCTTGCTTCTTTTTAAATGCAAGGATCGGTATCTTGGAAAAGCATCCAGCTAAAAGGAATTAGTAACACCTGATGGGTGGAATTTTTCCAGTCTCTTTCAAAAACGCCTAGTCCTGAGCAGCCCCAAATTCCTCCTACATCTGCTCTGCCTTCAATCACTGACAGCCATAGAAGCAATGCTCAGAGTGGAAAGGTGACAGAATGCCCCTTCCAGCCAGTACCACCAGCCCTTGGCCCAACAAAACCCTTCCAGACTACTGTGACAACCTTCAGACCTACAGTGAAAGACCAAATCCCAACTCTGTGAGCTGTAGGGAGAGGAAAGATCAAAGCACTGCCAAGGTCCCTACGATGCAAGGAATTTCTTCAATAAAAATGCCAGTAAAAGAATGAATTTAAACAATCCCTGCCAATCTGATCCAAAACTCTCTCCTAGCCTGAAGTCTGGCTGCTGGTTTAACCCTGAGGCTGTAAGTAAAGCACATTGAGTGTTTCTGAGGACTTTATTCTGTGAAGAGCACCGATGCACTCAGACAACACACTGACAACCTCCACAGCTTCAGCAGTAACCAGAAACATACATCTTTGGGTGACCAACCTGATGTAACCTTGAAGCTGGTCCTGCTTTGAAGGGTGTTTGAACCAGGTCACCTCCAGGAGTCCCTTCCAACTAAACTTGTTCCGTGATTCTAATGAATAAATATTCATTTAGATAGATCTCTATTTAGATAATGTTTTCTGGGGAAAGCTCCACTAAAGCAATTAATGTAAGAAACCCAGTGAAAAGTATCAACTGAAACAGATGTCTTGGTATCTCAGTGGCTAACTGGAGTCAGTTTTAGGTGGTACTCGGGTACTGTTCTGTCTCCCAGCAGACCCAGAGCACAAGGTGCCTTGGCAGAGAAGTCCTCAAGGTATCTGCTGCCTAACCTCTGCTAGGATTTAGAGCATGCCATATTGCTTTCACTTCACAAAATCAAAACAGCAGCTAAAGTTTGGCTCCTGAAGCAACTCACAGGGATCCAAGTTAACTACAAGGCTCAGAAGGAAGCTCTAAGAGACCTTGTAGGTAGGGATCTTCCCAGAGCTGGGATCAGTGATGTTCTGGCAGCTGAAGCCTAAGAGGTAAGAGAGTCCACTGAAGCACTGCTTTCTGAAGTGTGTGGTTTGTAGAGGAGAGTGGGCTGGAGCCCCCACCCAGCACCTGGGCCCAGCAATACAGGCTGAGATGCTGCAGAAGCTAGCGGCACCTCCAGCCTCTGGGGCTGTTGCCCTCTGCTGGTACATGTCCCACTTCCACACGTCTGCTCAAGTTTGCGGAATACATTTTCCTTTCATCTTACATACAGCACCTTTCCTATAAAAATAATGGGTTTACCCCAAATTTCATAACATTACCACCCTTATATAACGCCACCTGGCCCTCTTCACCCCAGCCACCCTACTGCTCACCTACACATCAGTGACAGAGCAGCTGAAGATGTTCTTCCTGCTCCTCCTCTTACTTTATTCTGTAGCACAAGCAACTGAAATGAGCCGCAGCCAGCCATGCCAGCAGCACAGACTTCCTGACCTGCACTCATACTACGTTTTCATCAGAAACTTGATGGGAGATTTTATGGTTTGGAATTTCTCAAAAGGCAAAATTAACATTCAGGAAGAAAGCTGTGGAACCAACTGCTCTGGGCACTGGAACAATGGCAAAGGCCAGGGCTCGGATGCCTTGAATACTCCCAAGTCGCTTTGCCTCATGAGTCCTTAGTTTTGCCTTCCATTTCTGCACCTCCTGGAAGCTTACAGTTGTTGCTATGGGCTCAACACATAGACTTGAGAAAAAGTTTAGGTTACAGTCCAAAAAGTGGGAAATTTTGCATTGGTTAAGTGTTAAAATATCATTTTAATGCGATTCTTTGTCTTTATATCTCTTAATGCTTCCACTATTACCTTCTATAATAAGGGGCAACTATCCATATGCTTCATAAAGATGTTGTATGGCTTAATATCTGTATAGTGTTACTCTGACAGACCAGCATAAACCAACCTATTCCCACACAGGATTTTGCCACCTCAGTCCAAGCCTCTTTACTATTACTCCTTGTGCACTCATTGCCTCACTCTCTTCTTGGAATCTTTTAAAACATTCCATGTTTTGTTCTCTGCAAAAGAAACGCCGTCCATCACCCCGGGATCGCAACACTACATGCTGCAACATTGAGGCAAATGAGTAAATCACACCGCTGCCACACAAAAATTCGGGCAAGATAGTTTCTGCGCTCATGTTTTACCTGAGCAGAAAAGCTGGCTCATGCAGCAAGTCTTCCTTGCAGGTAACAGGTTGTCCCTTCATTATCCTGCTTGGTATTTCCTGGGCAAACCACCTTTTTCTCCTCAGTCTTCATAGCATATTCAGAGTGGGAACTGTACATCAGGGGCTCAGCTCGGGTTTCTCTTCACTTACTGGACTTTTGGGGGGTGCTTTTCAGAGCTCGGCTTTCCCTTTCTCTCCATGCCCAAGTGCACCCTGTGGGGAGGGGGGAGAAAACACGCTTTGAGAAGGCATCAGAGAGCATGTGGCACCAGCTCATTGCAACACTTCTGGCCTTTGGAAGAAGCCCAGCTCTTCCTTTCCCAATCCTCCCTCCCAAGGCGACATTTCCCAACTCCCTTCCAGCACACCAAAAACAAGAGCTCCCCATTGCCACCAGCTACACACAAACCTCACATTTCCAAAACACACATGGTATGGATCCACCACCAAGCTCATGCCTCGAAGAGGCTTTAAAAGTAAAGCAGGAGCCCAGATTCTACCTGGTGCTGGGTGAATAAAAGAAAACTCCAACAGCAACTTCTAAACGATATCATTACAGAAAAAATCACTTGCCTGCAACTAAACTTGCATAAAATAACGGACCAGTGATCCTAAAGGGGAAAGGGTACAGTGATTTGCTCATGGTTACTTCCTGCAAAGGCTTGAAACTGCCTGGGGATCCCTTTTTCAGGAGGATACATATATCTCCATGCAAATAACAGTAGAAAGTGAGCATTACTGGGCTGGCAGAACACACTTTGCTAAATATCCTATGTAAGAGGCATTAGTTACAGCTACAACTACCCTATCCTGTAGTGATCTCCATGGGAGAAGTCCTGGACTTGCAGTAAGACAGGACTCAGAGCAGCTCCCTCCAGTAAATGAAGCATCATTATTCCAACAGTGGTGGGAAGGATACAATTAAAGAAGCCCAAATGAAACCACACAGTAATGGACTTTGGCCAAATTTGTTACCTAGTGAGGTTGATTCACCCCTCTGCAACCCAGCCAGGGAGCAGTGAGTGAGCCCTAATCCAGAGGACATCCCTTTTGAGGAGGGAGAGGATCTGGAGGATGAAATGGGAATAAACTGTTTCAAAACAGGGCTGTGATTATATCCAACAGCCAGGTAAGCACAGCCTCCCCCCCAGGGCCATGCCCTGCCCATGTTGTTGTAATTTGTTCATCAGGGTGTGTGGTTGGGAGAGGGAGGGTTTCCACTGAAACTCCGTTAGTGTCAAGTAAGAAAACAAGATACTGATCCACAGAAAAAGAGAACAAGTAAAAAGAGCTTGCAGTCCCAAACCCTACTTGAACATTTCATCCAGCATTGCTTTAATCCAAGTCTATGCTGGAAATAGGGACTGGACTCCTGATCTTCCTTCTTCCCAGTCAGTGCCTGCGCTCCCTTCAGCACCTTGTGGAGAGCAAAAGCCCATTGTAAATGAACAGAAAGCAAGACTTAGAGAAACAAAGAGACTGAGATGCCATTTATCCTTTCTGTTGTCTAGACTAACACCATATTTTCAGATGTCTTCACTTCAAAACAGCATTCCCAATGAAAACAGGATTTCTGTGAGACAAACTACTTGGCAAATCTGTGCTATACAGTAGCATTTGAATAACTGAAGTATTTTCAGACCCTTTCTGCTTCTAAGGAATTGCTCTGCAATGTTCATCAGTGATTTGTACTTTGATGGTAGTGAGGAAATGTGCATCTTGACACATTTCCAGACAGAAACTTAATCCCTTTCTAAACTGGCATCAATTCCTTACTGCATTACACATGGAGAGTAACTATTTATAGCAGTTTAATGAATGGAATATGAATCAAAATTATATATAGCAAGTGGAGTTTGGGATTTCTGATGGGCTTTTTTTTGAGGAAGAGCTGTTCTTTCCAAATCTCTGTATTTTCCATGTGTGAAAGCATTCAAGAATGGAACTGCGTGCATCAGGCTAAGAGGGTTAATATCCAGCTGCCTCACACAGATGGCATTATTAGTCTGACTGGGCCTGACACCTAGTTTTCAAAGTTAAGGAGCTTTGGTGACTTGGATGGCTGACAATCTGAGAATAGCCCGTGCTCTAAGCTTGATGCTGTCTGTAACAGCACTGGGCAATAGCACAGCTCTGCCTAGCAGACTTTTAACCAAAACACAAGTGACACTGGGAAGGTACCTGGGAAAACACTGTTGCACCTTTTAGCTGGGGGGCTCCTACTGCAAAGGCTGAACCAAGGGCAGGTAACAATGCTTGAACTTTATTTTTTCTGCCTTTTTTTTTCTTACGGCCTAGATCTGAGGAGTTCTATCTTTTCAGCAGCTCAGGCTATTCGGTAGATAGGAGAACTATAGGAAATACAAGAATCTGAGGAATGTTCCTTCTGCACCAAACTACAGCTTTGCAGCCCTTGCTCTTTCAGTGTTCCCACTGCCTATTTTCCCCGTGAGACGGGTTAGATGTTTTTAAGGGGAATATAGATACGATTAAAACAGTTTTGGAACCATATGAAAACGAGGTATCAATTCTAATGTGATGATGTATTTCCTTCCCTTTATATGTAACAGAAACAGAGAAGTTCTGAAAGAAAAGGTGGAGGAAAGACTAGGATTTCTCAAACAAACGTTAAGAAGGAATGCACCCAACTCCATCAGCTCTTTCCAAGTCCTAGTACAGAGGTAAATGATAGAAAATTCCTAGGTAAAGATATACAGCAGAGACTTCAATCTCAGTATAAGAAATTCACATCTGACACCCATCAATAATAGTACTTTTGTTACAGTACAAATAAATGATCATTGAAATGGAAGTGAAGGTATGCGTGTGCATGCACACACACATACCAGAAGAAAGAGTAGTAATGCTTTGACAGGACACCTAGAAAAAGCCCATTAACAAAAGCAAATAGTGCTTGTTGAGGCTGGCTCTGAACTCCTTGCAGTGTGCTTGCATTGTGAAACACATTTCAAAGAGAAGCAGGAATTGAACTGTTTTATTCATTTAAGAAATAAGAAACAAGTAACAAGCAGAAAGCTCATCTTTAAGGGGTGCACACACCAGATCACAGCATCAGTTATGCCACAAATATTAAACAACCTCTTGTTTTGTGCATCACACCTCTGACTAAGGTGAAAGAGTGAGTTTTGGGGGGTTACACTTGCAAACACCTAATATTAATCGAAGGTGTCTGAAAAAACTTACTGGACATCTTCATATTAAACCGCATAGAACTAGAGGTCTGTAACAAGGCATACCACGTAAACGTGGTACAAACTGTTGGTTATGTGATACACTGATCCATAATAGCTACAACAGGACAAACAACCCCTTTTAAACAGTTTGGATAAGCTGCCTTCTATTAGAAAACCAACATTTCAGACTGTAGGAGCCAAATCCCATTCTCACAAAGCACACCACGTTTATATGTATTGTGTGCCCATCAGGAGGGTGCCCTTCAGTTTTAATTTATAGAGATTAGATTTAAACCAACCGTGTATTTCAGGAAGAACATTGAGGTACGTATTACAAAGAATCTGCTCTATTTTCAGACTTGAAGGGGAGGTTGGGGTCCCCAGCACCACTCGGGCTCAGACCCTTTTCAGCAGCAACAGGAATGCCAACAGAGTGGGACAATAGTATCAGCCGAGGGGGCAGGATAATAAGCCAGTGTTCTGCCCTATACTATGTACTTAGGTCTTGCAATGCTAAATGAAAGCAAAATTTGTTTTAGAGAAGGGGATCCAAGGGTGAGGAGGAAGAACACCATAAAGCATCTGAGGGCCTGAATTACACCTTTAACCATCTCCAGTATTTCAGCTTCACTGATGATGAAGTCTAAACACAAAGTGTCTGACAGCACAGCTCAAGCACCACTGCTTCACACCATGCCGGCCTCCCGCAGGTCTGAACTCCTATGCTTAGAGCCAGCACTGCAGCTGCACCACTGACAACTATTTCAACACCCAAACCAAACCCCACAGCTTGCTCAATTCCCGAGGGTAAAGACTGCCCGCACAAGCCTGCGGGGTAAGGCGCAGCTTATTTTGTAAGTCTGCCACAACTGTAATACAGTGACCCACTGAGATTGACTGTGGTTGAAGCTGTTTGCACTGTTACTGCTGTTCTGAACTACCTTCTCATCCCCTAACATTAAAACAAGGGAGAGGTGCAGCAACTGATTTGTGCTGGTATCAATTCATTACATGTACAGGTGTGTTCAGCATGTTTCATTGTAATGCAGTCACCATCAGGATGATAAAAAGTGGATGTTAGGCTAGTTTTATTAGCCAAATAAAATTTACAAGTTGCACAAAGAGCAGAATCAAGAACAAATTAAGAGTAGACATGAACACCCATTACTGTTAAACAATTGTGCGCAACACAACTCACGAGATAAACTACAATACTACAGTCTCTGAAAAGCTTTGGTTTGGGGAATTTCCTCTTGCTCACAGATTATAAAAGGAATACCTGTGCCTTAAGAAATCTGCTGCACTTCTACTCTCATTATTAACTGCTGAAAGTAAATTAGTTGTTCTCACTTGCTATTTCTCCCAGGTGAAACCACCACAACCCAGTGTTCATTCCTGAAGAGAAGGTAATTAAATTACTGAGCTCATTTCACACACATGTACTTCAAAACTAAACTACAAACTGCCAAACAGCAAACTAACATTACTTTGTTTCTACCTCCATGACCATCCTAGTGCACAGTCCCAGACTTATTTACATGCCAGCTTGTATTTCATTTCATCTTAGTTCTTCCTATCCACCTCTATGCAGACAAATACACTCAGGGGTCAGAAAGTTACTTAACACCATTAAATACGTAAGCAAGGCTTTATCAGCAAATCTCTTCTGTTTATTAAGAACTGTACTAGAAACAGGTTTATATCCATTGAATCTTAAAGTCCCTGTGTCTTTAATGCTATCCAGTATAAATCTGTATCTCTTTCTGTATTCCATGGTACATCCTAGCCATTACTTAACAGGCACTTAATGAGCCTCTCCAATGTTACCTGCATTGTCACAAGGAATTCCTTGCTCCCAAGACACAAGAGGTCAGAGCACAGGCAAGTCCCAGCTAATCAAGACACTCACCACAACACTGTTAAACAGGCAGCAATCTTTTGAGGGAAAAATTAGGTAGCAAACCGCCTAACATAGGTGCAGTTTCTGGGAC